ATTTTACATAATGTATCTTTAAAATCACTTCTGGATACAAACATCAACTCATCAGTAAATTAAATCATCGGGTCTATGATTCCAATCGTGCACAAGAAGTATAGTCAATTAATTTAAATATCTCATTGCTTAACTATACTCTGGGGTAGAGCAGATTGGTTATACAATTATATGCATTATATTGGTTTCTGATCTATCATTAACAGTTCATTATTCAGATATGGAATTAAGATTTGCAGTTCCTTGTTTAATTGTATAAGACAATATATTAAGAGGATATCATATTCTGTTTATTGGTTTCCGAGCGACATGAAATGAAATGGGGTTTAACGTCCTACTGTTCTGCTCCGACTGGGCCAATGAAGACGGGCATACGTCATACTGTGTGCTGTGGGGGGGGGGGTGTCATTTTGCCAAGGGATCTTTTTCGTGCACGCCAATGTGTACAAGGGATCTCGGTGTGTCTCCCATCAGAACGACTGTATACGTTGTCCCTGCCAGGCACTCGGTCCAGGCAAGGAGGAACCACGAAAGAAAATTCCCATGAACTTTCTCTGGAATCACATGGATCGAACGCGGGAACTCCAGGTTAGCGAGCCACCGTCTTACGCACTGGGCCACAGTGTCTCCCATTTCCGAGCGACGATACCGTATCGTGCATTAACAGATTTCGTCTGTCGCAGACTGTAATGCCCATGTAAGTAGAATGTTTATACTGTACCGAGCAATCTTATTCTTTTAACATCTAATTTAAAAATAAATTTGATCGTAACAGTTTAAACTTATCACAATATAAGTATAACTAGTATCAAACAGTGCACTATGTTAAAGTTACAATGACTTGTTTTGACACACCAATGAAATGAAACGGGGTTTATTGCCCTACTTTTCCGCGCCAGCCGCACTAACAAAGACAGGCATGCAATGTGCTGTGAGGGAAAGTTTGTCTAGAAAGCGAGCGGCCTACCCGTATTTACAATTCCAACTGGCATGGGTTCTTTTACGTGCATTCCAATGCGTACACGAAACTTGGGTTGACTAGACACTGTTCTTTGGAAAACACACCGGAAAAGGCCAATACCGGGATGGAATCTGGAACCTCCTGGTAAGCTAGTCTGTGCCTAACCCACCGAGCCGTGATTAGAGTGAAGGTTGTCGTCATTGTCTGGTTGAGTTTCTTACGCGTTTGTTATTCATGTTTAAATGGTTAAACGCGCGGCTCCCATAACAAACAATACTTTATTTAATCGTATAAAAAGGTAAATATGAAGAGATACTTTACAGCCATGTTCCTGAAGCAACGACTGTGAGATTAACATCTAGCCGTTCCTAGATTGATCTAACATAGTCCAGAAGCTAATGACAAACTAATATGGTCATCAGTTACAAAAGTTTTGACACCCCAAATTTGTAGCAGGTGTCCGTACGAGTAAAACTCAGTTGGTGAGATCGGGCACTGCTGGGGCTCATAGACGCAGAAGCACCTTAAAGTAGTAGCCCGCAGGGGGCCTAAAATTAGGTCATGAAATTTACAACATCTGGCCGTTCCTAGATTGATCTGACATTGGAACGTTATCCCCCTTTGCTACAGATACGTGAACAATGGCGCTGTCCAATCAGAGGTCGTGACACAAACAAACTCAAATAAAATATGGCGATCTCCACCTTGAACTTTGCATCTCGATTACCACGGTATACGTTTTTGCTGGAAAGCGCGCCTCTTGATATTCGCGATGATATTGTCTGTCGAAGAACCCGAGAAGTCTCCAGCTGGGTTAATAGTCAACCGAAATTAATGACGAAATATGCAGGGTATTACGTGAAGGACCTGATAAGATGTTCGGAGTTAAAGTGAAATTAAGCCATCTATTGAAGATGCTTAACAGCAACCCAGGATTGGGGGGGGGGGGGCTGCATATATGGCCCCCAAATATTAAGGGGAATCCCAAATTAATTCTAAAAGAAAATGATACCATAAAGAAATAAGTCATTCATTATGTACCAAATAAATCTATGTATCTCCCCTACTGACCTACAAGTTGCATTTGTGTGAGTGCCACCAGAATACGCAACTTTTCAGTGTTGATGCAAGGGCCTCGTGATATATTCAGCCAGGGGTCCCATGCAAGCTTAATCCGTCCCTGGTACACAGAAGATTAAATTATAAATGACCATTAAATCATTTCTTCAATCATGAATTGAAATATAATCATGACGTATTGTTTTGTTATAGCTATATTTACATATGTGTACCATTATATTGCTTTCCTGTGTCTCGATAGGACGTCCACGTTGTGTATAAAACTTCATTGACCAATTAACTCTGGAACATTGTGTTGTTATAACTATGTTTATATATATTTCTATAACATCCATAATACAGGGATTATATACAGGAAACTACACACATGGCTATGCCATTAAATATAAGCTAAATATAAGTTCCATATCCCTTAGCGTGTGTCCTGTATCTAAGTCGAGGAGGCTGTGGGGACGTCCTGATGAAAATACGGAATGTATCTGAAGCAATTTTAATCCCGCTCTTTAATTTATATAAGACGTTTAGATACGTTATCTAGTAGGGCGGGCCATTAACATTTGTAGGTGGAGTGTTTTATTTGGGCACCCTGTCACGTCAACCTTATTTAATTTAATTGGTCTAATCTGTGCATCAGATGGCTGGACAACAGCAACCCACTTCCAGAAATGGATGGTGGCAGAACTGTCAGTGAGTTAGTCGAAGAATAATGCAAGGTACCTAATTAGCTTAAATATACCCGTCACCAATTTGTGGGGATCACGTGGCTAAGTGGGTAAGACGCTGGCTCGCTAGCCTGGAGGTCGGGTGTTCGATCCCTGCATTGGCCGAGAAAGTTCATCTAGATTTTCCGGCGTGGTTCTCCTTGTCAGTGATGCAGGACGGTGGGCCTGACAAGGACATCTGTCTAGTCGTTCGGATGGGACGAAAACCGGGGCCCGTGTACAAATTGGTGTGCACGTTAAAGACCCCTTGGCAGTTGGAATTCGATATAAGAGTAGGCCGTAGTGCTGCTGCCCGGGCAAAATTTCCCTCATAGCACACTGTACAGCGTATGCCCGTCTTCATTAGCCCAGTTCAGGAGCAGAACAGTAGGCCGTTAAACCCCATTTCATTTCATTTCATTCATTTGTCACCAATTTGTTTAACGACCTTTCATAAAACTAAATTAACCTCTATAGACATATAGTATTACACATACATGATGAGATGGTGCAGGCTGAAATAACACCATAGTTTCATCTACCACGTCGTATAAACATCGCATTTTCTTTTAACCCAGGGAAATAACTCTAGCTATACTTCTTGATTTGGACTCAGACTAGCAATTATTTGCCCATTGACTTCAATGTTAAATGGCTGTAACATCACAGACTGTAGCTATTTGCTCAACATTCCGTTGGTTTCAATCTTTATAGGCACAATGGGGACCACATTTGGCAATATCCTGTCTATTTATAACTGGCACTAAATAAGGGGAAATAATTACTAGTCTTAGTCCATTTACATGTGTCCATGTCAGAAATGAAATGAAATGAAATGGGGTTTAACGTCCTACTGTTTTGCTCCGAACTGGGCTAATGAAGACGGGCATACGCCATACAGTGTGCTATGAGGGTAATTTTGCCCGGACAGCGGCACTACGGCCTACTCTTATATCGAATTCCAACTGTCAAGGGATCTTTTACGTGCACGCCAATGTGTACACGGGACCTCGGTTTTTCGTCTCATCCGAATGACTAGACAGCTGTCCTTGTCAGGCCCTCCGTCCTGCATCACTGACAAGGGGGAACCACGCCGGAAAATCTGGATGAACTTTCTCGGCCAATGCAGGGATCGAACACCCGACCTCCAGGCTAGCGAGCCAGCGCCTTACCCACTTAGCCACCGTGATCCCCCGTGTCCATGTCAGGATTTACAGGTTCAACCATACATATTTAGAATATACAATAGTTATAGTCCTAATTTGATAAAGCACTTACCTTTCAGTGCAGACGTTGGACCTTATTTCTTGTCATTTCATTTCATATGTCCTATTAAAATAGCTAAGTCTCTATCATCCAAAGTCTTACAAGCTGTAAATACGAATTATTTGTCAATTCAAATCAACGTTGATGTTGTGATCTTACCAAGAAAAGGTAGGCTTCTGATATCCAATATTTAAGACAAAATAAACATTTTACCATTGGTACACGAATCGTGTACCATAGTGCGTTTCAGCGTCATGTGTAACAAGTGACCAGAAAGAACGAGGCTAGACATATTCCACAACTCATGTCAAACGGTGACGCCATAACATATCTGGAGAGCTTGCGCAATAGACTGGAATAACCAGACCCTAGAAATTTCCATTCCTTTGAGACTCATGCCATATTTCGCTGAACATAACTGAAATTAAGAGTCAAAACGGAAACAACTGAATGTAAATCAGTTCATATACAATTAGATTACATTATTATATGCGTCAATTTGGGTCAATTTCTAGGTCCCAAGGGGGGGGGGGGGGTGGGGTGGATGGCTGAATGGTTAGCGTGCGCGCGCTGTATCATAAAGTTTGTCATTGAGTCGATTGGCGTGGTTTCGAATCCCCGGTTGTACGTGACAAGGAGTAGGGTCTCCTGTCCAACCTCGTGGGTTTTCTACGGGTCCTCCGGTTTCCTCCCACTGCTATAGACCCCTATGCGCAAGCGAATTATTGAAATAAACTTAAACCATATGTTATTCCCTAGTTTGTGTCGAGTGGACGTTAAACCCCATTTCTCTCTCTTTCTCTAGGTTCCAAATACTATCGATTTAGCTCTTTAAGTCAAGCTAAACAAAACCACTCGCCCAAACGCAAATCATGTTTTGACAATGGTGCAAATCATGTTTTGACAATGGTGCTGAAATCGAACAGGCTCGCTTAAACTAAATGCACGTGCATCAAAAAGTGTATAAATAGATCGCGTTTTTGGTCATCAACACGGATTTGATTACAGACTGGAGCCTTGCATGTTGTAAGTTTATCTTCTTTATTGAATATTAGTTTAATGCTCGTACTACAGTATATCAAATATTTTCTTTCTTTGATGATTCGTTTTCATTACGATTATTTACAATCTGGTGTTATACGACCAAAATAAGTTGTTGGTCAGTATTGTATACAACACTATGCTGCAATTGGTGGTGGGATTTTGTTTCTTGTGTTTTAAGTCGTGCGTAGACTATATCGAGTGTCCAGATTGGCTTCTAATGAAATTTTTGGTTTGAATAACACCACTTCTAGCCAAGTGTCGCGAGGTACTCCACAATACGGTATATGAATTTCCGTTCGTCACCTCCACTTTCAGATATTCAGGGGAGAATGGAATTGGAAACCTGTCGATATTACATGATTATCCCCTATTTAACAATTTAATTTAGTCGTACAATTCTACCCCAAATTATAATTTTAAACTCCTTGCAAAACAGTTGGTGGTGAACAAATTGATCTCGCAACATACACTGTTTGCATAGCATTCGAAATTTCCAGGTTTAATGAAACCGACCAAGATTGAAACCCAGCTATAAGTTATTTTGAGATTTGAAATCTCGGTGAAAAGTTACACAACTCGGTAAAAACCGAAAGAGTAACCCGTGTATATTTTTTATATTGCAGACATGATGGCGGTCAGTATTGTCTTGAGTTGTCTGCTAATGGTAAGTAGTTGTGTTGTTTTGGGTTTTTTTTTTTTTTTTTGGTTTTTTTTTTTTTTGGGGGGGGGGGGGGGCGTCCTAATTACGCTTTTACACATTAAATTTACTTTTTCGCATATCCAAGCGTTAAGCATGTTCGAGAAATTAGTGGGATTTTTTTTTTTCTTTTTTTTTTTTGTTTAATAACGCTTAAACTTATTTTTTTCAGTTGACCATAAGTGGTGGCAATGCCAAGAACTATATCTTGGATAGTAAGTATAGGTTTTTCTAATTTAGTTGCAATAATGACCAGGGTAGATTGCGTGGCTAGTTTTCCATAAAATGATATATGGCATCACGTATTCAGCTGTTATAGTGTTTATGTAAAACCATTATTCAATCGTTATGTAAAGCCGGTGTTATCCTTTTTCTCCTTCAGTAACTGTCAATTGTGGTACAGCAAAGGGCAACGACCCAGTTCTGAATATATTAACAGATGTGGCTATTTCTGCTCGTGCACGATGTTATGGCGGTGATCAGACTTTTACAACCACGGATAAAGTTCATTACACTCTCCCTGGTACTTTAACATCCGCTAAGAAAACCTGCAGATGGCATGTAAGTATATATCAAATATAGGTCTTATAATCCGTGATCAAATTGGTTTTTTTTGCAACCTGAAAATCGGTATGAAATTTTCTGATCGTTATATTCGAAATACGCGTCCAGTTCTAATTAAATGGCGGTCATTTAACCTGGTTTGTCTAATGCAGGTTACGCATACCTAATGCGTTGGAAATAATGTCGCAAATTGGTGCATGGACGTATTTGCTTCCGTACAATTGGCTCTAGAGAACATGCAAAAACCGCTTGACTATTTTAAATTATTGGATATCTGGAGCCCATATTTGCGCAACCAGATAAAATAAAATGATATACAGCTATGTTGTAGTGTATTCAACACTGGGCTTTATAATACCGTTGTTATAAACACCTAATGTCTTTCATTACTAACGGGCGTAGATTTAAAAGTCGGCAGTATGCGCAACTATTTACAAGATGGTGCCATGTGAAAAAACAAAACCCCAAACGATCAGGTATCGAACATTATTTGTTACCATTGTTAAATCCAGTTTATCTCCACTCCTAAACGTAATTTCTGTGGTTTTAAAATATCACATATGGGGTATTGGATGTTTATAAGGTTAGACGTTTTATTTAGGTTTTTAAAACTACTTTCTCCCACTCCCTAAAGCTCAACAGTGCATGATTTACATCTTGACGAACCTTCCAAACATTTTATTAGCAATGCTTAACAAATTGCAAATACAATTTGAGCTTGCTGCCATTTTTGAATTCGGTATTTTACATGTTTGTATTTTACAGCAACGTACTGGATCGTATACATACGCTGTAGACGTATTGGTAAGATATGGTGAAGTTGGTAGTCTAATTTTAACCAAAGATAAAATAACAACCGTTGTTTGTACATATGATCAATATGGTAAAGATGCTTCACCTCAACATCAAATTCTAGACAAGTAGGTATTTTTATCCCGCCAACCCTTCAATGGGGAAACAAGAATGCTCCGGGCTTTAAAAAAAAAACGCCATTGGCTATCGCCCGAAGTCTTAATACGATCATAAATTCTATTTTTGTACTGTAAGTTTTATTCCAGATTCATACTTGTAAATATTTTATCTTTATAGCATAACTTACTCTAAATAACAGATCGGTTTTTAATCCATTCCACACGTCTTATGTTTTAAATGTTGGATATTTCAGCTTTATTGCACCCCGTGAACTTGGTACTATTGTGGGCTCTATTGTACCCAGCAGCCAATTGAAACTGAGTATTCAAGATGTCCATAATGCTGATGTTAAAGGCGATATGAATATTGATAGAAAATATACCATATATGGACAATACAGCGGACCTAGTAAGTAAGCTTGTAAATATTCGATATAAGTGCCAAATAGAATTATAATCTAAAAACGTAATTCTGGGTACTTGGTGGTAAGTCAAATCATAAGACGGTGCAAGGTTTATTTAGGAAGAATACGGAAATCATTAGGCTGACGCACGCAGCCAATATTTGCTTAGTTAAAGTTTAACTGCAGACGGCGTATCTCTACCTTCAGTGGGTCCAGAACTGAAATTTTCAACGTCTATCGACTATAAAAGCCGAAAAAAAAATCTAACGCGTCTGAAATATTTAAATGAATAGCTGTTACAACAGCTTTAATTACGTATTAATTTGCTTTATGAACTACACCGTTAAGAGCGACAAGATCTTTCTGGTTTAGTAAAATTAAACATTATGCAAGAGCTAAGTCTGATTATTGCAAGTCATTATTTAGGCTTCAGATGTCATAGAAATTATAAATTAGATCTTTATTTACACAATGACAAAATCAACCCTGTAGACCCACGGATGGCTTGGATTTAAACAAAGATTTCGTTGATTATACAAAGTTTAGAAATTGATAAACATCGCAGCTAACATCACCCCAGTTGAATTGCAGCTCCATTGGATCACTGTTCGGGGGTTATGCAGGCCTACCAGTTACAGTACAAGAGTACACGCAGGCTAACAAGGAGTAGGCTATAATTACGCCTCATTGATTTGGTCCATTCCTTTCAAACTTTCGCTTATAATCTATATATTAAGTCTTATTTTTAATTTGTAGTAAAAAAAAATGTGATAGGATTGAATTGCAACCGTCTCAAACCACAGCCATTGAAAACGTTAATTGATAATCGAGATTATGTAGGTGGAGTTAACGCCTGTCAATCAAACGATCGTCCATTCTCGGAGACGGTTAAGAGATTTGACTCTAATTTCTAGTCAAAAATTATAATAGTGATAACTTTGTTCAGAATAAAGTAATTTGACTGAAATTTTCAATATATACTATTAAAAAAAAAAAAAAAAGTAGGGGATATTTGATTTTTAAGTGTTATTAAAGTCACCTAATGAAACTGACGAAGAAACAAATGACAAAATGAAATGAAGTTCACATTCATCGATTTATTCCAAATGATCGTTAGACTAAGTAAGGCACAGACTGACCATTATAAGGGTAAAATGATACCCGGGGTCAAACAGCAAAGTTACCACAGCATCACAACCAAGTCAGTAACGGGTAAATCCTCTGTTTGCCAAACAAGCATTGATCCGACGTGGCATACTCCTAATGAGACGTCTAAGGTCATTTTGGTCCAGATTGTCCCATTCCTGTTGCAACGCAGCAGCAAGGTCTTGGACATTGGCAGGACGTTGTTGACGTAACCTGTCCAAGCATGTCCCAGACATGGGGGAGAGGTCGGGACTCAGTGCTGGCCAAGGTAATGTGGTGATGTTCTGTTGTTGGAGGTAACCTGTAACGATCCTGGCCCTGTGACATCTTGCGTTGTCATCCTGGAAGATGAAACGGCGGCCACGACGTCGTGCGAACGGCACAACATGGACTGCCAAGATGTTGTCCCGGTAGTACTGGCCTGTAACACGCCCTGCAACAACATGTAAAGCCGTTCTTCCAGCAACAGTGATGCCTCCCCACACCATAACAGAACCACCCCCAAATCGATCATGTCTGATGACGTTAACGTCTTGGAAGCGCTCGTTTCGACGACGCCACACCCTACGTCTGTCCAAAAAATCAACAGTGAACCTTGACTCATCTGAAAACATCACATTGCTCCAGCGTCGATTATCCCAGTATTGACGATCCCTACACCAACAACGTCTTGCCTGAATGTGATCTCTCAAACAAGGGAGGACGTCGGGCTGCGAAGGTGACCCCTATGCAGTCGATTCCGAATCGTCTGGCCACTCACTCTCACACCAGTGTATGTTTGAAGACGAGCGCTGATTTGCTGTGACACGATTTCTCAAGGCCAAGGTACGGATAAATCGATCCTGGGCTTGAGTTGTCGCCCTTGGTCGACCTGAGCGTGGTCTGTCCTGTACAGATTGTGTATCACGGTATCTGGACCATAACCTGCTTATGACAGACTGAGAAACATTCATCGTCCGCGCCACAACCGCCTGTGTTGTGCCGATCTGTAGCATGCCAAGGGCACGTAACCTTTCATTTTGGGTAAGCCGACGCATATCAATTTGTTTTCTGGTCACTAAAACAATTAAACTGATGTTTCCACCCTGGAATTCAATGCCACAATGACTGTAACATTCAAAGTCAATCGTGCAAATCTTGGGTTGGACCCCCATGATCCCAAGCATCACCTGCATTCCATGTGGTAGCTATTGGTGCGTTTGGGCGTCACATGTAACTGGAAATGTTTCTTCTGTTAGGTTCTATAGTGACTTTTTTCGTAGTCATTTGCATATTTTAGTATTATGCCCCCAAAATCAAATATCCCCTACTTTTTTTGAATAGTATATTAGCGATTTGGTTCCTTTAAATACAACGCAGCCTTTTCACACTAATCAGCAGTGATTATTCGCTTGGCCGCTACAATCACTGATAAGGATAACATCGATGCGACTTAATGAGCCAGAAATTAACTTTTTTTTCCTTCGACAAATTAAATTCTAAAACCTTTGTAGATAAAAATCATTTCCTATTGACTGTAAATGGGTATTAAAATGACTAAAAGGCAGCATTCCTCCCGAAGCAGTAATGTCTTATGTAAACAATGCACGCGCCAATAGACTTTTGGCAAGTGGAATTTTTCCTATTCGTATCACGTCTCCGTATCGTCTCGTGATATGTAGTTTAAGAGTTTTTTGGTAGATTTTCGCGCCGCGCCCGTACATGTAAGCTATGGGTAGCTAAAGCTGAACGTAGTTCTATTACAGCATATGATGGCAGTTATCTACCAAGATCAACATCAGTACTAGGTGCCCAGCCTACAAATTCCTGAAGGGAGTAATGTCGCTCGACAATCGCTGAGCTATTAAATTCCAGTCTTTATCATGGTTAGAATCACATGAAATATACACCTTCGTGTTTTAGGATACACATAGATTCATAAAAACGCTACGGCACAAGATTTCAGCGTCTAAAAAAAAGCAAACGATACGTTAAAAAGACAACGATGTTATACGGAGCTTTTCCGTATGAAAGCTGTTCGATACGTGCTGTCGTATCCTTGTGCCGTATCTCGTATGAGAAATACACACGCATTCATGACAGCACGCGCAAAATCGATACGCGATACAGACCAGGAATTTACGCTTGCCAAAAGTCTCTAATGATCGACGCCGCGTATCGTGGGGGCACGTGTTAAGGCAGTCATCTTTGACAGATATTACTACTCGACTTGTAATTCTGTGAACTAGATTGAACCTCCTTTTAATTAACTTCTAATATTAATGTATATAACATATAATTGTATTGTCTAAATATCTGAGATTTTATGGTAGGACAACAATGTTAATTTTATAAGTAATTCATATTAGGGGGGGGGGACCTTTAGAAATTGCATTTACAAATGCCCCGTTCACAGCCGTACCATTATTTAAAATGTTACGCCAATATCTTTTATTCATGTTCCTTCACACCCCAATATTTGGTTATATTTCAACCATGTTTAAACGAGGTGCGCAATGGTCCGCCACAATTCATTTAGCTGAGTTTTTACTATATTGAATTTTAGGTAAAGGTGTTGGATTAAAGCCAGTTCATTGTGATGCTGTATCTTCCTCTGGAAAGCGTTATGCTATCTTGCGAGCTGGGTAAGTATTTTTCCATATTCCTGAAGGAATGGCCAGAGAAATCACTATCTGGCTTTGCTGGATTCACTTCAAATACAAATATCCATAAAGCAACATGATGGACCTTAGTTTAATCTGGGGTCTTGCCTAAAACTCTGAACAGTGAAAATTTGGTCTCCAAACGCTATTTTTACATTGGAGCCATTTTTGATAGCCTCTTTGTCGCCTTATTTTCTAAAATATTATCCACTGGTTAATTGGGCGTAGTATCTTGAAGTCTTAACGTAAACGTATTTTGGAGCTCCTGCTTATATCCGAATGATATTGTTAACGCAGTTATTGGTTAACTGGACTATCCGTCGATGGGTGGGTAAGACGCTGTTCGATCCCTGCATTGGCCGACACGGTTCATCCAAATTTTCCGGCGTGGTTCCCCCGTCAGTAATGCAGGACGGAGGGCCCGACAAGAACGACCGTCTAGTCGTTCGGATGCCACGAAAGGTCATGTATATACATTGGCGTGCACGTAAGATGCCTTGCCAATTCGATATAAGAATAGGCCGTATTGCCGCTGTCCGGGCAAAAAATTCCTAATGGCACTGTATGGGGTATGCCCGTCTTCATCTAACCCCACCCATAATTTCTATTGACCCAGTCATAATTTGGGACGGAAATTTGCTTTCATAACGGCAATGCTCGAGTGATTTTTGTCTGCATCACTGCGAGGAGTGGTCTGTCATTGATTCAACTTGTCTGGATGACAAAATCCCAAACAACGCAACTAGTCGGTACGTGACCACGAACGGTTCCAAAATCTCAGTTGATGTCTGCCCCACTTCTACGATCCCCTACACACAAGAATTGTGAGGAAACGAACTTGATGACCAATTTCTGTTCAGTGGTTGGGAAATTACTATATAAAAGATTTTGTATAAATTTTCAGATGTGGCGATGGATTGGTATTTAGAAAAACTGACGGCTTTACGACTTCTGGTAAAACATTTCGCAGTCCATATTTTGAAGGATATCATTTAGATGACAGTGAAAGTTTATCGGTTGAATGTAATGTAACCTTATGTACCAATTGTGCTGGGGTAGGTTATTACATTTGATTTTTAGTTAAAAAAAAAAATAAAAATGTCATTTTGAGTGTCCTGTGAAATCGCCATATTTAACTGTTGCAGGTCTTTAAACCTAGAACTTTCTATAAAGCATTAGACATTTATTAACAAGACCATAATCGGGGGGGGGGGGCTGATTGTACGAAAAATTACGTTCTCGGCTTCAGATTTTAAAAACGTTAATTTGTCGCCGTTATACCCTTATGATGGCGGAGTTCTAATTCGTGAAAATCGGACAAAATAGCCGCTCCTTGTGTAATACAAGGTTGTATATCACCTTGTGGACCCTCAATTCCCTATTCTATTTTGATTAAACATCTTTCTATCCCAAATATCCGTCGAATTTCAATATTCGCGCATTTCAGATAACTTTCAGGATTATGGCCCCTTTTTGTACAAGAAGTCTTAACTTCTCATCTTGCCTGGAAACCGCTTGGTAAATACGATTTTGATCCATAATATGCACTTTGTAGTATGGGCTGACAAATTTGCTTTTGCCACAAATCAACTTCTCCTTAATCCCAAGGAACGAATACTTTTTTGTACAAGATATTGACATATTCACATTAAATGGCCCGTCTCCATTGGCGCCTGAAAGCGCAGAATCTGGACGTTTTTTAAAACACCATTTTTATATTGGTGTATCATTGATATTTTAGTATTTTCTAGTATTACACGATATTTTCAGTCATCGTGTGCTACCGTGTGTAATGGACCACCAACATATGTAGTAGCTAACGGTAGAAGAGGTAGCTGTGTAGGGGAATATAAATACAAGTCTACCTGTACATATGTCTGTAACGCTGGCTATGGTAAAAAATTAGCTGGTATTTCAACTTGTGGACCAGATGGAATTTGGACAGTTCCACAAATTACTTGTGTTGGTAAGTTTGAATAATACACCGATATCAAGGGCTATATCGAGGATATAAGCGGATAATATTTTTTAAATGTACAAAATTTAAAATTGCTTATGGATATCTTTCTAAGGTCTAGGATGTGGAACCCCTCCAACTTTGTTCAACGGAGGTAGAACATATAAACTAACTTATTACCCTAATTATGCAACCTACAAATGTAATCCTGGATATAATATGGTTGGGTCTGGAATAGTTAGATGTTTAGCAACTAGAAAATGGGCAGCAAGACCATTCTGTAGAGGTATTTATTTAATTGTTAAAGATACATTGCTATAACGGTTCAAAAATAGATGAAAGAATATATTGAATTTTAGTCATTACTTTATTCTGAACAAAGTTATCACCATTGTAATTTTTGACAGGCATTAACTCCACCTACATAATCTCGATTATCAAGTAACGTTTTCAATGGCTGTAGTGCCGTTAGCCTATTCGGTTTGAGACGGGGTTGCAATTAAATTCGTATCAAATTATTTTTACTACAAATTAAAAAGACTTTTAATAAGCGAAAGGTTTGAAAGGAATAAACCAAATCATGAAACATTATAGCCGACTTCTTGTTAGCCTGCGTGTACTGTAACTGGTAGACCTACGCGACTCTCTAAGCAGACAAATGTGAAACGGTGATCCAATGGGGCTGCAATTCAACTCGGGTGAATGTTAGCTGCGATGTTCATCAATTTCCATAATTTTTCTGTAAACGTAAGTGACAAAAGAGCATATAATACCGACATCCAAACTCTCATTTTAACCACAACTAAACGTAATATCAAGGTCGTATATATCGAACTTTCAATCAAATTGACTGACATGCGGCCTCGCTCAACAGCGGCCTCGCTTCGTACACTCTTCTCATTTAGCCTCGATCTAAAATTTCCGGGAGTATGTCAACGTAGCGGTTAATCTCCGCTTACGACGCCATTTAAAAATTCAATCAATGAAATCTTGTAATCCAAGCCATTCGTGGGTCTACAGAGTTGATTTTGGGCTTGTGTGTATAAATGTATAATTTATATGAAGTCTAAAGACTTAAAATAATTTAGATTTAGCTCTTGCATAATTGGTCAGTCGAACACAAGGTATTATCGATAAATCCATCCGACAGACAAGATTGAATGGACCATGACATAAATCAGTTTGGTACCTTTTTTAATTCTGTTAATAAAGCATTCTATTACTGTTTACATCTGAACATTATTCAACCATTTGTTTATCTTGGTGAATTTCAAGAGAAAATGAACAGTTATGATTTACACGCAGCCATTTGAATTTTGATGTTTCTTGTGGTAAGGTCAACTAAAGAGTTTTAATTATTAAAACAGAAGTAGAAAAAAGGGAGATAATTAATGGAAACACGGAGCGAACACAATATAATGTCTTTTAAGGCATGACCAATAATGTGTGTTGAATTTACTAAATGTTAAGGCAAATAAAAACTTGAGACTACAAATAGCACTATAAATCTGGATTAAAGTATTTACCATCCCAGAGTGGTAAAATGAAATTGCTTGTGAACTTGAGTATATATACCTGATTTATTTTTAAGCTAAAAGCTGTGGAACTCCACCCAATATATTGTACGGATATAAGTCGTATACACGAACTGATTACCCCAATGTCGCAACCTACAGATGTGCTACCGGATACAATATAGTCCGGTCTGCAAGGGTACAGTGTTTATCCACTGGAGAGTGGTCAACGAGACCCCAATGTTCTCGTAAGTACAATTTTTAAGTAATTCTACAGTAGGGTTCAATGTTAACTTCTTTTTTTTCCCAGGAAAACGTTTTACACTTTTTCCTCGGTGTTAAAAGACGGACGAACATGAAACGTATACAAGATAAAGATTCAATTTATCTTCCAACGCCCATGTTGACAAAGTTGTTCATCAGGAATAACTTTATTACCAAAAGTTTCACTGTTTAATTTAGCTATAAACGCTACTTAACGTGTTTTAAAGTGACTTTTGGTAGCTAAATGTGCTTTTGAGATTATACTGAAATGGATGAAAATCAGTCTTTTCGAATTTGACTTGATCTTTTTTTTTTTTTTTTTTTTTTTCCATCCGCTCTGAGCAATGATAGCTTAGATTTTGACGGTTCTGTGTTGAATTTATAGAACGGTCCATATGAATGAAATTAAAAATGTGACAGTTCTTGCAAATAAAGTGAAATAGTCTTTATAATATCAATTATCGATAATTGAGGGGGGGGGGGGTGCAAGTTTAAAAATTAAAAGTGTTTACTGCATCGGTGTCTGTTGACCCTCTTCCGGAAATGTTGCTTGCATCGATGAGGTCATGCATGAATACGACGTGATTGGTGTAAATTAACCTTAACATATCGATATAATGTTCCGCTAAGCATTATCATTTTAACAATTATTCGCATCATCCACCTAAAGGTATGAGGCTCATTTTTAATAACGCGAAGTATTTGAGTGCAAAATTTTGGCATTTTAGCACAACATTTCCGGTTTCGTTATAAATTTACCGGTAGTTCTGTTTTACAGCGGAGAAATAAAGGGATCTCGATCAAGTCACATTATCCCTATTTTCGCGTTCGCAGTTTCGGAGAATCGAACCCCGAACCTACAACATTGCTTCATACATGGCAAGAGTGCCATCGTAGAAACATAGACTATTCAATTCCCGTTGTCTTATTACATAAGACATTAGCTATGGATCCGAAATGGTTATATTATAGTCCTAGATTTGAAAAGTTACAAAATACATCCTTTGTTCCCATGGGGGCCACTAAGGCTGGTTGTGCAGCTGTCTAAATTAAAATGGTGGTGCAATTCGTTTGTTATGATGCTATGGTTAGAACGGGTACATTTTAAAAACCACCCAAGATATGGAAAATATCCTAAACATTCAAATTTTTTTCCAGCTAAAAATTGTGGAACCCCACCAAATATTCCATATGGAACAAGAATGAGTAAAAGCACCCTTTACCCTAATGCCGCACTTTACAGATGTAATGCTGGATATAATATGGTTGGATCTGCAGCTGTCAGATGTTTATCAACTGGAAGTTGGGCAGCGAGACCGTCCTGTAGAGGCAAGTATTTAATTCGCAGTGAACGATTTATTACAAATAAACTTTATAATATATTATGGACAGGGTAATGTCTTACGTCGTGACCAAGTAACTTTTGCACACGGCTTCACAGGTTTATAAATTGGAAGGTTGGGCACTACAGGGATTTTTAAAAATTACAAAATACATCCTTTGTAGGGTGACCCACCATAAATAAATATCTCCAAATATCTCGTCAATTAGGCCACAATGTTTATATACCAAGCCTTGAATCAGTTTCAAACAATTAGTCACTATAGGCGAGTCAAACGACGGCTAAATGATGTCGTACGTAGAACAAATTGCAACAAAAGTTTTTTTTTCTATTGTCTTATGATGTCGTAAGTAAAAGAGTTTACCAAAATTGGAGTCCAAATAAGGGCAGGGGGCGTGGCCAAATCCAAGATGGCTGCTGTCTATCAAAAATTGCAAATATCTCTAAAACTATTGGATTTAGACACCATAAATGTATTGCGGACAGATAGGAAGTCGGTACCAGCGAGTCCAGAAATGGCGACGTTATGTCTCGACGACGTCACAACGGCATATCAGACGTCGCATTTTTTCCAAAATTAGTCCATTTATGCATGTTAACAGTAAAAATGAATGCTGATTCAGAGAAGAGGGTATGCCCATTATGGGTTGATAAACAAGAACAATGTGTTACAATAACGTAGGAAGCTAAAAGTATATCAATATTGCTGCATTGTCAAAATATTACAGTAGCTGTAGGATCACGGATTCATTTCAATTGTTGACAAAAATAGCCTACATCAATAAAAAAATGAAATGGGGGGGGGGGGTGATACATCCTACTGTTCTGCTCCAACTGGGCTCCATCAGTGTGCTATGAGGAGTTTTGCCGTGCAGTGGCACAAAGGCACTCTTATATCGAATTCCAACCGCAAAGGGTTCTTTTACTGGAGAAGTGCATTAAAGGTTGAATGGACGGGGCTGACCAGTTTTGACATTTGAGCCACTCAGAAGTAGGTTAATCCCCAAAATCATCATACGGATTTATATTTTGACATAGGTGTATTCAAGATGTGTTACAAAAAACCCCAACAAATTTGGCTGTCATGCGAACAGAGCCCACTGGCAGTATTCCTAAAAGCATCACTTAAAGAATTACGTTTTGGGGGGCCCCGTTCATGTGGACAGACAGGAAGTCAATAGGCTACCACAGAGTTCAAAAAGATGAAAACTGGTCTACCCGACATTTTACGTTTTGCCACTGGCTCTAGCTGCAAGTCTTTTGGGGTGTGGTACTAATGGTAATAGTCCGGTAGTCAAACACCAGGTTAAACCTTGCGATGGAAATAAAGCAGGGCCCGTAAGAGAGTGGGGGGGGGGGCAACTGGGACATTTGTCAGGGTCCTGGAGGTATGCCGTGTAATGGTAATGTTTAAAATGTTAACATTTGTTGGTATAAAGTAATACAAAAAAAACCAGTTACTTGATCGTAAAGCAGAAGAGAACCGGAAACTTTTCTGAATGTGGGTATAGCTAGTTCCGTGGGGAAGATTAGAATCTTGGAAAAATTGGTAAATTTAAAACTATATATCACCTGTTCCGTTTGATGTCATCGTCAAGGTATCCGGGCCTAGTCCGTGTCTGTAGAATGCTACAATGAATGAATGATCGCTCTAGGTCGGCTGACTGGTATCCGATCATTAAGAATGAAACTGAAAGCGAAACGTCTACTTTCATCGTTTTATTACATATAGGTGCTAAAAATCTCGAAGTTTTTCGATATTTTTGCCAATTGGGGACATTTTCCCCACAAATGTGCTTTAGCAAAGTGACCTCCAGATATACGCCAAGTGATGTACGCTAGAGATTATGTCTCTTTCAAAAGCTTCCGCCGAGTTGCTTGTCCCACGGCCTGGATGTCGCAGGCCATGAAATAAAGTCCACCTAATGTGTTTTGATGAATGATGAATTATATATGCGTCGATTCAGAATCCGGATGATGCCAATACAAATTAGTATTCCAATATGACTTCATTCAAAATATGGCCACATTTGACGGGAAATTTCGATGTTAGCAATGTGATAGCATAATACGTCAAATAGTGGGTTTTCGAGGTAGGCAAATTAACATCTGAACCGCAAAATGTGCCATGACCGAACAAAACATTAATGTTACTTAAATTCGACAATATATCTATGTTCAGTAGACCATGGAAGAAAATAGTACACTTAGAAGTTCAGATATCACATTACTATAATGACATCAAAATGTCTCTCCGTCCTTATCTCCCTAGGTGGTGCAGAACTGTAGGATGTTAAACCCATTTCGAAATGTCCCGCCAATGGGAATATAGTGGTCATATTGGAATACCTTTGGGTGGAACATATTTTATGTTATTACCTGAATTAGGGGACCACGTAAAACTATACAGGGGCTTTATGATCTCTCAAAAATGGGTCCCATTTTAAATTTGGCTTCCTAGCGGAATTTGCCGTCACTTTTGGGAACGGGGGGGGGGGGGGGGTGTATGCCCAAGCTCTTTTGATTCAGCGATTCGTATTCAAATAAAAAAAAATTAGAACGTAATTTCTAAAGCTGCTGTAGTTACATAAAATTAGCTAAATTTTACTGCTATTCAAAATCGTCAAATAGATTTGGAGAGAATTGCACGTGCCATGGCTGATCGAGACTACCACTGAAGCGTGCACATTGTCATGAGACCAACTTTCTGTAGAGTGCATGGGTCATCCTACCTTTGTTCCCATGGGGGCCACTAAGGCTGGTTGTGCAGCTGTCTAAATTAACATGGTGGTGCAATTCGTTTTTGTGTTTATATGGTTAGAACGGGTGCATTTTAAAAACCACCTAAGATATGGAAAATAATCCTAAACATACCAAAATGGTGGTGCAATTCGTTTGTTATGATGCTATGGTTAGAACGGCTACATTTTAAAAACCACCCAAGATATGGAAAATATCCTAAACATTCAAATTTTTTTCCAGCTAAAAATTGTGGAACCCCACCAAATATTCCATATGGAACAAGAACGAGTAAAAGCACCCTTTACCCTAATGCCGCAATTTACACATGTAATGCTGGATATAATATGGTTGGATCTGCAGCTGTCAGATGTTTATCAATTGGAAGTTGGGCATCGAGACCGTCCTGTAGAGGCAAGTATTGAATTCGCAGTGATTAACGATTTATTACAAAATATAACTCCATAATATATTATGGACAGGTTAAAATATCCTACGTCGTGACAAAGTGGCTTTTGTACACGGCTTACAGGATTATAAATTGGAAGGTTGGGCACTATTATAGGGATAGTGATTTGGAGATTTCAATTGAAACGCTACCATATTAATACATTTTACATTACAAAAGGCAGCGTCGATCTTTAACTTGCCAAAATGGCATGCTGTGAGTCGTATTGTCTTGACCAGTGGATTGTAAATTTTATCTTGCTGTAACTTTTCCAATAACTTCGGAGTCTCCACTATGAACAAGACCTTAATCTCTTTAATATGGATATCCTTTAAAGAGATTATAATCGACTTTTAACCGAAATACACAATGTAATAGCATGCCCGTAATAGCGATTTTAAAAAGTAACTTGCGGTTGAAACGTTGCCGACGGTAGCTAACCTCGATTTTTTCCATCAGCTTTGATTTGTAGTACCATGATGGTGTATAAGATTACTACCACCGAGATGGTCTAAGTTTTCCCGATCATATATCGTGTTCGTATTGCTTAATCAAGTTTTCTACAACTGTCATGTTTGCGTTGAATTTGTAAAATTGGACATTCCATTGTAGATTTTAGCAAATATGTATACTGCCGCGAGAAGCAAGGCATTTTTACATTCCCATATGCATATTTTGATGGCAACATGTTTTCTTCGTTTGTATAAATTTACACGTACTTGTATATTACTGACCCAAGTGTGGCAATGATTAACAATTCCTTACGTTACTAGGTTGTATTTGGTAGTATATATTCGGGTAGAAAAGTACACCAATGTACCGTCATGATCAGGCCTTTAGGATTCTCAAGTGTAGGCACTGAGAATTTCTCGATTGATAAAAAAATATAATACCAATGGATTATTCGGGTAGAAAAGTGTCATGAGCATGCCTTTAGAATTGTAAAATTTATGAATTTCTAGATTAATTTTTTTTTATGAATTTCTAGAACAACAAAAACCGCCGAATGATTTGTCTGGTCTAACTTTAAAACCAAAGCCCTGCGTATTACTAATGTGTTAAAAGTTTACAATGTCTTTATACGACAACTCCAATTGAAATAGAGAAAATAATCTACGAAAGGATTGCATACTATGATAAAGGATAATAAATGAGTCCTATGCATGCGTTAAAAATAGTTCGATATTTTCCTAGTGATGACACTATTTTAATAGTGCTCAAGGGGACATAACTTGCATGCAACGTGAGTATTTTGTGATTTTTGGCAGTGGAAGTTACTCGATTATTTAAAATTTGTTTTTCAATTTGTTTTTTGGCCAATATGGCTATTGCATATTTTAAGTATGCAGTTAAGTTTTCCATATAGCCAAGTGTGTTATAGCCTTTTGAATACCTCGTTTCGTTCAAATGTTGAGACTATTCATGCGTCGCATTATCTACCCGTTCGGGAATATTGCAGACAGACGAGCAACGGCTATATGTTGTAAAACTCGTGGTCTGTAGCTTCAGGAACATGACTAGTTTGTAAACGTATAGGATGACGTTTAGCAAGTGCTCTTCTGACTAAACTAGTATTATAAGCCGGTGTTCTTGGTGTTAATGTCTTTCTTCCAGACCTCGAGTGCCCACGAGGTAAACAATAGCAGAGCTCGAAGCACGACCACTAGGCCATCCCAACCTGGCATTGGTTTTTCCACGTTCAGTTATAATGGTGCTCGTTTATTTAACATTTTGTAATGTATTGGGGTTGTGCTTTTACATGTACTGTAAAAGGGGTGTCAGTCGAAAATGGATACTTTGTCAAGTTTTTGGTCTAAATTTAGCCCCCCCCCCATCAGGAGCATTTCTGTAGGGTACATATCACTAGGATGTGTGCTCTTCCTATCGAGAAAAAATCATTAAAATTAACGGATTATCCCAAAATTAATATGTAAATTGTTATTTGTAAATAAAACATTTATTAAGCCAATAAATTGTGTTACAGCTAAAAGTTGTGGAAGAATACCAACCATTGTAAACGGAGCTGGAACCGCTAAAAGCACACTTTTTCCCAGTGTGGCAACTTACACATGTAAGAAAGGGACCATTATGAAGGGGTCTAAATATGTTAAATGTATGACAAGTGGAAAATGGGCGGTCCAACCGAAATGCGTGGGTGAGTATTCAAGGAGTGCCAGTGGCGTAAATAGCTTTGGGGACAATCGGGTACTCTTCGCCCGGGCTTCTCAAATAGGCTTCACCCTGCTGAGAATTCGCTCAGTTTATACATGAATATTCTATATAGAGTGAAGACATTTGGATAAGCTCTATTATATAAAAATAATTCAGGCTACATAATAAAATGCTATTAAAGATAATTACTTATAGAGCAGATCTCGACGTAGCCAGCATGAAATTAAGCAAGGTGTCGGGATCCTCGTTTCTGTCTAATCGAAATGGCCTGGCATCAAACACGAAAATGCAAGTCGGCAAAACCATCGTGGAAGCTATTGATTTGGTTTAAACATATTTTATTGACAAATATCAAAAGGATTGAGCACAAGTTTCAAAAACTTAGAAAAGCCCTTTCCATAGAAATGTTAGATATTATTTAATACAAACAAGATTGCAAAATATTATATACAATAATAAATAATTTATAAGTAATATAAATAAAAGTCAGATGAATTATATCGCAAAGCTCTATAAAAATAAGTGAAGAGGTGATAAAGAAAATATAAAATTATATTTAAAACATTGAAAAATAATGTTTAATAAATGGGATATAAATGAACTGATGCATGTATAAAATGATTTAAAGCTAATTTATTCTAAGATGTAACTACTAACAATAACTTATTTAAATCGTTTTGAAAGTTTGATATATTTGTGAACTTCAAGGAAAAGGTTTGTATTCATCTCAATTGACAATTCTGAATTGCCGCACAATAGGATATCTATATTTATCACAATAACTTGACAATGTATTTAATAGTTCAGCACGAATTACATCATATAAGTGACTTGCAGGAAATAGTGTTCGGCATTTTCTATAAATTTGCCACAAGAACATGTGGGATCATTCACAACGTTTATTTGATACAAATCATTTTGCAACGAACTACACCCATGCCGTATTCTAGTGTGAATAATTTCATGTCGAATACCTCTACAGTAGTAGATTGGCGCTTTATGTATTAAGGAACGTAATTTTTGTTTAGATATTTGAAGGATTTAAGAGTGGTTGATTGCTTTATGGGGTCCTAATAATTCCCAATTTCGAATTGTTGTGGGGGAGTACGAAGTTTGGTGTAATGTTGTTCTACAATATGGATATCTATATTCGCTAATGTTTCTTAAATTGTATTTTTGTGGTTTGTTAATATTCTAGAATGTCATAAGTATGCTGGGTTTCTGATTTTTAATTTGAAAAAATGTAGTTAGTCGCTTTTGTGTACGTCTGACAATTTATTCCATCCGGTTTCAAAATAAAGCGCTTCACGAGAACAACTTTTAGTTAGTCCAGTCACAATCCTGGCAGCTTCTAGCTGTACCTTTTCAAGTTTTTCGGTATTGGAAACGTTACACCCATCCCACACTCCACATGCGTATTCCAATTTTGGCCTTATGAATATCAAATATACGTTATTTAGAGTTTGTCTATTAAAGGTGAATTTTAGTTTACGCAAAAAAATTTAATAATTTTGAGGTGGACGAGATAATAGTTTCTATATGGATGGTCCATTTGGCGTCATTTGAAAGGGTAATGCCCAAGTGTTTGTGACATTTAACCACTTCAAGTGCTTGATTATCGAATATCAGACTCGGATAATTTTCTGGGGTTTTTTTGGGGGGAGCTAAATAAAATAGCTTTTTGTTTGGATTAAAGTTTATAAGCCAATTATTCGCCCAAATGTTGAGATTTGTCAGATCGTAGTTTAGGGACTGTTCTATCTCTGAAACTGACTGTTTGCTACACTGTCAAATTCCGAAATTAAGCATCTCGTTTGAAGTGATCATTTATTTCGTGTGGATCGTCATCGGCGCCTTAATCATCGTAGAATCGCCACTAATAGGACGAGTAGTGTGAAGCTGTGTTCCCTCAATACAACATGGGCCAATGCTGGTTTTAAGGGGGTGGGGCAGCATGGATCAACCAGTAGGTCGCATTGACGCGTAACGAATGTGTCGGTCGGCGAAAGAGTACAGTGGTGATGCGTGAGCGCTTGAAACCATATGGAGTATAAGGCCCCAACAGATCGACGAGTGGGGTTCCTACACGTAATCTGGGCCCTATTCACGTGAGGGTCGTCCGGCATTGTTAAAGAGCACTTCATAGATCTACGAGACGTGGGTCCCTGCGGCATACGATTGGGCCCTCTTACATAGAAGTGGGGTCGCTGATTAGATTAGGGTCTATCGGTCGTACGAGAGTGGATCCAATTACTTTCACGTGGGGCCCTCTGGCATGGACTAGCACCCTCTGATTTGGAACCCTGTGGGGGGGGGGGGGTCATCTAGATTCAGTCCCCCTTAAGCCATGAGAAGTGCCGCAAGGACACTATTTGGTATGATACCAGTCCCAAGGATTATCAACGCCATCTAAATACCCAACAATTTTCCGGAATCGTCCGCGGATATAATACATTGTACTACGTCAACAACTGATTTACATCCGGCAATGGCTATCCCGTATATGAATTGGCTTGTACGAAGTTTTGCCTCTGAAGGAAATGTTCCTTAGATTGTGGTGGGTACTGATATATTGCATGCATAGAAGCAGTTGGATCTACAGAGACCTTTTCTAAGACTGCTAGTCTTCTGACCTTTATTCATCTATAAGGCCAGTTGTTATTCGGGTATGCTGTTGAAAGAATGTAACCTAACTAAACTTATATGTATGTTTATATAATGGTTTTATATTACAGTTACATCGTGTGCACAATTGAAGTTGTGTAACTCGGAATATCGTGATGGGGAATATTGGATACAGATCCCTAAACTGAACCGAATGAGGGTGTATTGTTATGGTTTAAGGGCAACAAAGCAGCAGGAATATATAACCCTTCAACATCCTAACAGTGCCACCAGGCCTAATTTGCAATATCAATCGGCTAAATGCAATCTCGGATTAAGAGTCGCCGTCCTGGTCCCTGGGTCGACCATCTGGAATAAAATCGCATTGAATATTTTGGTAAGTAGTCCTGGTGCTTAAATTCGGCAGCGTAACAAGTTGTCATCTTTCCGGACAAGCTTCATTTTTTCCAGATACATGGAGAAACGGTTAAGAAATGGAAGACATATCGCCTTTTCTAGATATAGCCGTTGTCGAGGCATCAAGATTCCGTTTATAGTTCTGACAACGTAAATACGTATACGATGAATACCTAGTCCCACGCCATCCTTTTGTTTCAGTATTGGAATCCTCCAGACCAATAATGGCCCTCATTACACAATGCATGGCGTTAATGGGCATGGTTGGGCCAAGTAACATTATTTTTTTTCTAATGTAGAAAATGATTAAGTAGTCACGGCATTAATTTATGTGGGCGTATATTGTCGTCACCCCTGTCCAGACGTCCGTCCACAATGTTTGACACTCTAGAGTCACAATATTTATCCGATTTTGATAAAACTTTAAATGTTTATATCCAAAAGATATACATCACCGTGACGGTTGAGTTCAAATTTCGTGTTTGGGCAGACACTGCCGGACAAAATGCCTGCTACTTTTATGCAAATGGGTATAGTACAACATGGTTGTGGACCCTCTAGAGGTAATTTTTATCCGATCTTGATGAAACTTAAATATATCAAAAGACCCCGGTTCCTTTCCATATTGGTGCATATCGGACTGTAAATTCCTGTTTTATGGCCCTGAATGTACGAAAAGATGCCAGTTTTAGCTTGTTCTCCATCGATATTTTGCAAAATGTGGGCGTATCTTGCATGGCAACTGTTAGATGAATTTGCCGATATGGGGAATCTGTGTTTGGTTTTTTTTATTAGAATTTGATTGCCTTAAAGCTGAACTCAGATTACAAAACGACAGAAATAAACAAATAAAAAAAAAACATTAACACCCTAAATCGCCATACTTGTTTTCAAGTTGTAGAACAATCATGGACGATTGTACGCCGTACAAAAACAAGAAACAGGCCAAGCCCACATCCAGTTCACGCCTTGTCAACCACACTGTCCACATCCGGCTAGCAATATTTCAACTACCAATTACCTCCTGACTGGCGTTTTTTCACTTTCAGTTTACTGAAAGTATTGCTACCTAATGGCGTTTTTTCACTTTCAGTTTACTGAAAGTATTGCTACCTAATTATTATATCTAATCAGGTACATATTTTACTAATTAGTCGAAATAAGTAAACCACTGTACTTTTGCTCTAAAAATAAGCAACTGCCTTACCCAAAACAATAAAAAATCTACCAACACCAACCAAATCTATATATGTTGACATAACATCAAGGGACAAAACTACTTCACAAGATGGTGAATATTTTGATGTAAAAACATACTACTTTGATGGAGGGAACAGTTTTATTGCTGCTTTGGATATATTTTGGAACGATAATACTAGAAATTTGTTTCAACGCTGTTGTACAAAATATTTCAAGAAATAAGAAAAAAAATTGTTTGTGTTGGTAGATTTGTTTTGGGTAAGGCAGTTTCTCATATTAGAGCAAAAGTACACCGTGGTTTACTTATTTCGTCTAATTAGTAAAATAATATGTACCTGATCAGACCTAATAATTGTGTAGCAATATTTTCAGTAAACTGAGTGAAAAAACGTCAGTCAGCTGAAATATTGCTAGCCGGATGTGGACAGTGTGGTTGACAAGGCATAAACTGGGTGTGGGCGTGGCCTGCCTCTTTTTTTGTACGCCGTACAATCGCCCATGATTGTTCTACAACTTGAAAACAAGTGGCGATTAAGGTGTTAATTTTTATTTCTGTAGTTTTGTAATCGGAGTTCAGCTTTAAACAAGTGTGACCTCAACATTATCTATTGTAGACCGGGAAAGTTGTGGTCAATGATTTTCGTTATACCAAACAAGTCAATGGATCCAAGCGACCATATGGTTCTGCTAGTGCTTGTTCGTATATGAATAGCGAGAACTGTCCTGCACGTGGTCATGCTTTGGTTGATCTTCGAGATACTGGTTTCATGTTGGATCCGAAGGTTGGTATTACTAGACCCTTTACGATGCTTTTATGTAAGATTTAAATAAAGAGCTGGAGTTTTTGCTAGAGATGAAAAATTTATGTCGATATAATTCAAATTTTAATCTGAGCGGTGTTTGAAGATACAGCGTAGAATGTGCATTATTTTAGCAATGGTACTTCGCGACCGTGATTTGGCCTCGATTTTTATATAGACAATATGTGATTTCTATTTCAGAAATATTGCAATTTCTAATCGGCGAAATGCGTAAAACGGTTCGAATTGAAGGGCAGTCATTTCGGCCTGCTTTGTCCATTTTTGTAGGATTTATTTTGCCATTACAATAGAGTACACGGCTAATGTACTAATTAAATGTTGTCGAGAACGATATTAATTGAAATTGACAATATTGAATTCCAATTCGTACTTGGATGTCTAAATAATTTTTACGATATTTAAAGACGGGCTGCTGTAGTCGGATTTACCGAAAAATTTATCTGCAAAGAAATAATTTTAAAACCTGCAAGTGAGAAAATTGGGTCGGTTTAATTTGAAAAATGTGGACAATATTTTACAATTAACTTAAAATGTAAAACTATTATAGCTCAAGTGGATTGCTGCTCGCGCCAAGCCAAAATGTAATACAATTAGACGGACAAACCATATATTTGAAGGTAAAGGCGATGGGTACTGCGGTGGTTGCTATCCATCTGGGGGCCTTACTCTGGCAGCAGATTTAAGGACGGGTATGTTAGAAATAAAATACTAAATATTTTCGTATTCTAAGTGTAGATAGTAAATGACGTTCTGGTTATGTGGCCTCGGCTGATAACATTGTAAAATCACATGTTTGTCGCCTCATTAATTCCCCCCAAATACATTCTACACATTTCATGTAAAAAGGCAAAACCTAGTAACTCACTTATCAAAATTGAGTTAGGACCAAATTTGTAGTTACTAGGGTATGTGCTTCCTGTTGTTGTATTGGATATTCCAATCTTTTGATTTTGTAAGCAATTACACCCATGACACAACCTAGCAACTTCCTTCATTTGCCTAGTATACCACAGCAAAACCTAGTAACTCAATAGTCAATTCAATGGATGAGCTGCGGTTTAATATTCATTCATTACGTTTTCCTTTGTTTTCTCAGAGTTACTAGGTTTTGCCTTTTACAGGAGACATGACTTCAATCAAATTAATTTGTAACGAGGCAAAATAGATAATTTGGAAATATTTTCTTTTGTAAAGCCCTTAAATCTTTTGTTCTAGCTTTAGGCATACCGTGCATTTAACTATAGCCATTTGTCGAAAGTCAAATTTAATTTTGCAGCTGCCAAATTAAAAGCCACAGAACCAGTCTGTAGGATGATCATCTAGACCATACGTGAATGTAGAAGGAATAAAATATACAATTACAATCTTAATGTGTTTTTTTGTTTTCTTGTATCCGTTTTTATACCCGCCATTTTAAGTAATATTCCTTCTCTCTTTGACCCAACTAACGTAAAATGTGCTGCAATAACGGTCATGGCTGTTTAGATTAACGCTAAACAGTCTATTTAAATCTAAAAGCAATTGCTTTTGGAGTCCATTATTCAAGGATGGACTACGTGTACTTGAATGTAATCACCAAAATGAGTTTTTTTTAAAACCAGATGGATGTAAGGGGAGCGGCGATCACTCATTGAGTGATAAGGTCGGGGGAGGGGGGCGTTGTAGCTCCTCGGTGTTTGCCGGAGTTCATCGATTTTCACACCGGTTCCACCATTGACGGTCGTTCAAGACTATCTGAGCAGGTTGACGGTAGTCGTTCGAATGGTACGTACCGATCCCTTGTACGTATGGGTCTATCAGTAAAACTATAAGTTTGCATACGAAATTATAGTAGGCCGTTGGGTGGGGGGGGGGGTTGCGCTCCTATTTGTGAACCATAGGGACAATACGCCCATGCGTAATTTGGGCGTGTATTGTCACCAGTCCATCAATTGTTTTAACACTAGGCCTTTGGCGGATCTTTCAAATCTAATGTGAAGCATTGTGGTCAAAGTACGAACCCTACAGATTTAGCAAAGGTATGACCCATTTTCCGGAAATCCTTGTGAAACGCGAGTGGTTTGCGCGGATTATTTTCACATTTGGAAAGCATTGGTCATGAAAGGGTTAATCCTATCGACTAGCATAGACCATGCGTGATTCCCCTTGTCGGCGATGCAGGACGGAGGGTCTGACAAGGACGGCTGTTTAGTCGTCCGGATGGACGAAAATCCACGGTCCCGTGTACACATGGCGTGCACATTAAAGATCCCTTTACAGTTGGAATTCGATAAAGAGTACAGGCCGCTGTCTGGGCACAATTTCCCTCTTAGCACACTGCATAGCGTATGCCAGTCTTCATTAGCCAGTTCAGAGCAGAACTATAGGACGTTAAACTCCATTTTATTTTCTACTTTAGGAGTTATAACCTTGGTATAAACAATTCAACATTCCTTGGTAAATTCAGGCAACGATTAGTAATATACATTGTTTTATTACTTCAACATCCGAGGAAGGCGGCATACAAAATGCAGAGAAATGGGGTTTAACGTCCACTTGACAAAAACTAGGTAATTTCCAGACAAACATATTTCAATGATTCGCCTTGTGCTATAGGCGTCTATAGCAGTGGGTGGACCTGGAGAGAACTGGACAGGCCACCCTACATGGCACGTACAACCGGGGGAATCGGAAACCACGCCGTTCACTCAATGACAGACCTTAGATATAGCGCTAACCATTCGGTCATCCACCCCCTCCCATAAACAAAATACGATACATTAATGTAGATTACACGCCTGGAAAATCCAGATGAACTTTCTCGGTCAACACGGGATCTAACATGGGACCTCCCGGTTAGCGAGCCACTAATGTGGCCCCAGTAAACTTGATAAAAATCAAATGGTTTAACGTTCTGCTGCGACTGGGCTAATGAAGACGGCATACGTCAGTGTGCTATAAAGACCATTTTGCCCGGACAGCGGCGCTAATCTTTATTATATTGAATTCAACTGCAAAGGGATCTTTTACGTGCACGCCAATGTGTACACGGTACCGGTTTTTCGTCCGAACTACGAGACGGCGGTCCTTGTTTAGGGCCCTTCGTCCCGCACCACTGACAAGGGCTGGGGTGGGGAAACGCGCCGAAAACCCCTCAACTTTCTCGGCCAACGGTATACCGGGAACAAACCCGCGACCTATAGGCCAGCATCTTGCCTTAGCCACCGTGGCTCCCATAAACAAATATACGCTAACCATATCAAATATTAATAGAAACCATGAAATGACTCTTAATAAAAGATTAGGGACCTTCAAGTATTTAAATATATGCAGTGCTAGATCTCCTGTTGAATCCATCTATTGAATTTGAGAAATGCACACAAAATGACAAATTTGAGATACAGATCTTTGGGGTGTAAATAAGTCGAGGAAATGTAGCCTATATTATACAACGTTGCGGCACGCCGAATTACCCCCAGTAATTACCCGTTTGTAAGGAACCGCAAAATAGCACCAGGTTTGCGGCCTATATCGGCTCTCCATATCTCATGGTCTGAATGTTCTTGGTGCCAAAATGCGATTTTCAGTTAAAAATTAGTCCAGTGCAATGCAGTTTTCTTGTCAAAATAGAGGGGAGGTACATAAGAGTAGGTAAACGTATAAATGTTTAGACTTGGCATAGCTACCTTCCATTATATAACAATGTAAGCACAATTTAATAAAGGCCTAGAAATTATAGCATCGCCCTGGCACCCAGATTAAAGCCAATTCCCGTGCCCAATACGAAAGGCGGCACGGTTATTTCACCGGCTTATATTCGGAGCTTGCGGTATGGGAATCTTTGCAAGACCGGTACGAATGGGTAACTTACATTTGAAACCAAAGCGCAACTTTGGGACCTAGAAATTGACAGAAGTGGGTCGCAACGCATATAATACTGTAATATGAATGTATATAAACTGATTTACATTCAATGGTTTCCGTTTTTACTCTAATTTTAAATCAGTTATGTTCCACGAAATAAGCCAGCAGTTTCAATCGAATTCAAATTTCTAGCGTCTGGTTATTCCAGTCTACATACGTCGTTTGATTTGGTGCAATGTGTCTAGTCTCTTGCTAGAACTGGGGCTGAAACGCATTATGGTACACGATTCGTGTCTTAAATATTGGATATCAGAAGCCTATCTTTTTCCGGTAAGATCACAGCATCAATGTTGATTTAAATTGACAAATAATTCGTGTTTTCAAAGTTGAAGATTTTGGATGATATTGAGTTAGACTTAGCTACTTTAACACGGGCAACTGAATTGGCATGAAATCGATATCACAAATTCTCAACTTCCGTCGGGACAGGAATTTAGAGCTTACACAGATCACGACTCTTAAGATCACATCGGACGCTTGAGCTTGTCTGGAAGCTGAAGATAAAAATAAACTTGTATTTTTTCAAAAAATCCTTATGTGAATACTTCATTTTTCTGTTAAATCGAAAGATAGGTTGCCAGGCAACAAAACATACGCCCACAGCAGCTAAATCGTCCGACGGTCGACAAGGGTTGTCGCATATTTATTCCTTTGTCAAAGTAGGGTGACCCACCATAAATAAATATCTCCAAATATCTCGACAATTACGCCACAATATTTATATGTATATGCCAAGCCTCAAATCAGTTTCACACAATTATAGTCACTAAATAAACGATCATGTTGTACTTAATAAGCTATGACCATTAATCATCTATAAATAATAGACTGAAAACTGGTTCCAAGTGTCGTCCATAACATCCAGACACTTTTGAGTAAAAGATAGGTTACGTGCCCTCGTTTTGAAATTAGTCTCGCTTAAACAGTCTATCGACCATTTTACGTCTGATTGACAGGTCGGGATAATTAAGACTACTTTTTTTACGAAACATAACAGAAAGCTAGAACAAATTGAATTTAGAAATAAGCACATTAGACAACTCAACAATTGTTTTAAGAAACTTGTTAAAGTAAAATGAAACTACTGCTAGTATCATGTTCCTGTCTAACCCGAGTGTTTCAGAGATATTAAAAGATGCCGCTCTTAACGCTTCAGTTAATGAAAGCAATTTAAAAAATAAAACAAACGTAATTTCTAAAGCTGCTGTAATAACCAAGAAGCTAAATTTTACTGCTATTCAAAATCGTCAACAATAGATTTTTTACGGCTGTAATAGTTGATATATTTGTAGAGAATTGCACGTGCCATGGCTATTTATCGACTCGAAGAGAGTGCGGGGTGGTCAGAAATCAGTTCGAGACACGCAACTGAAGCGTGCACATTTAGCCGTGTCTAGACCAACTTTCTGTATAGTGCACGGGTCAACCTACCTTTGTAGGTAATTGGAGGGCCTTTACAAGACGGTTCCATACAGATCAGATCATAAATTGTCGTTTGAGGGTTTACAAGGTTCTACAAACTAAAACAAGGGTCTCACTCTGGAAGTAATCTACAGAAATTGTTGAAATTTGACAGGCTTTTTCGTTATACTAAATTAAATAATGCATATAAATTTCATACAGATCACATGATCACTTTTGTCATTCAAACGTTCACAATCGTCATAACTCTAGAAATTATTGACGGAAATTGCTGAAATGAAATGGGGTTTAACGTCCTACTGGGCTAATGAAGACGGGCATACGCCATACAGTGTGCTATGAGGGAAATTTTGCCCGCGCAGCGGCACTATCGCCCACTCTTATATCGAATTCCAACTGCCAAGGGATTTTTTACGTGCATTCCAATGTATACACAGGACCTCGGTGTTTCGTCTTCATCCGAAGGACTAGACAGCTGTCCTTGTCAGGCCCTCCGTCCTGTATCGCTGACAAGGGGGAACCACGCCGGAAAATCTGGATGAACTTTCTAGGCCAATGCAGGGATCGAACACCGAAATTCAATAGACCTGTCTCACAAATTTAAATGATGCATATAAATTTCATACATATCGGATGATAACTTTCATCAATCGAGCATTAACTAGGTTTAACAAAGTGAAACAAGGGAAATAAGTCTAGAAGTAATTATTGTAAATTGCTGAAATTCAATAGGATTTTCCGTTTCACTAATTTAAATCATGCATATAAATTTCACAAAGATCGGGTGATAACTTTTGGCGTTAGAGCGTTCACAAGGTTCAATAAAGTGAAACAAGGGCCATAACTCTAGACGTAATAAACAAAAATTGTTAAAATTCAATAGGCTTCTTCGTTTCACTAACTTAAATATTGCATATGAATTTCACAAAGATCGTATGTTAACTTTTGGCATTAGAGCGTTCACAAGGTTCAACAAAGTGAAACAGGGGCCATAACTCTAGACGTAATAAACGGAAATTATTGAAATTAAATAGGATTCTTCATCTCACTAATGTGAACAACATATATCAATTTTAAAACAATTGGATGATAACTTTGTGGACGATGGACGGACGGGGGCGACGGCAATATACGTCCACATTTCAATTTGGGCGTATAAAAATGTACCATTGTAAAGCCCAAGGGACACGTGACCAAAAAATCCAAGCCAACAGTGAGGCTGTCCCCCGCCGAAATCCCAAAATACGCAGTACATGTAGATGACACTTAATTAATCGCACATTATTTTTTTTCAAAAGTATCAAGCAATTAAACTGATTATCAACTATACATTAAGTTTAATCACTCTATGAAATAGAATCAAAGTTATCTTGTCCCAAAGCATCTACCGATGAAATTGCTTAGCTATGTTTAGCTAAAGGCTCGAAACGTTAATCATTGAACTCAGTCAAGACATTCGCCTAATGAACATCAAGTTTAAACATTATACCTCCATTAAAGCAGAGTTGTTATGTTCCAAAGTCTTGACCAATCAAATTGCTTATCGATCCTTAGCCTAGCAGAAAATTCTCATTGTTAAACTTCGTCAAGGTAATGGTGAATCCATACTCGGAGTTTCATCACTCTCATTTTTTTAAAACTAAATTTATCGTGACCCAAAGCATCAACCAATCAGATTGATTATCTCTGCTTACCGTAAGCAGACGATGTTTATCATCGAACTCCAAGGCATTCACCTAATGAACACCCACGCCAAGTGTGAACATTCTAGCTCAATTAGAATGAGAGTAAGTGTAAGTCTCGACCAATCAAACTGCTTATCGCTCTGCTTACCCTTGGTAGAAAATGCTCATTATCGAAATTAGTCAAGGTATTGGTGTAATAAAACTATACACCAAATTTCATCACTCTCGCTTAATTAGAACTAAAGTTATCGTGTCAAAAAGCATCAACCAATCAAATTGTTTATCTCTGCTTACCCTAAGCAGTTAAGATGCTCATTTTCGAACTCCATCAAGGCATTGGCCTAATAAACACCTACAAAAAAAAGTTTGAACATTCTAGCTCAATTAGTCATTGTGTGCCAAAAAGTGTGACAGACAGCCGGACGAACCCATTTTAATAGTCCCCTTCTTTCTTCGAATGGCGGGGGACAAGAAAACCAAAAAAAACGCAGACTAACGAGAAACGCAGACGAGAAAAGTCGACCACAATGCCTCGCATAGAGCTTACGACATTTAATCATTTATATACGTGTTAAATAAAATTATATGGACACAGATCACCAAATATTCCTACGCCGTCACGAAACAAGGGCCAAACCTATTTTTAGTCTTCCTCTCCCTTTTCCCCCTTTTGCATGGCGATTTTTGTTGACTTTTTGGTGTAGAATCGAAGAAAAGGGTTTGAAAATACATTCTCTGCCAGGTTTTGGTGAATATTCATAATTTTGATGCGGAAGGATACAAGAGTTGAGAGGTTGGTAAGGTTGAAATGTAGGGCTGAAAGTGCATGTTTACTTGTCTCTACTTCCAGCTTGTGTATCTCAAGTTTTTCATGAAGAACCTCATACGTGCTTTTGGGCAAGTGGTTGCCACATGTTGCTCCATCTGTGGTAGAAAGCGTTCTACCCAACGAAAATTTGGGAAAAAGTTAGAGCCGGTCTAAGATACGAGAATTAACATTGGAGTCAATGGGGAAATCTTGAGTGATCTATGGTCATATAGCCCAAGTCTGTACATGTAGTTACTTTCTGGACGGTCTCTGGTGGACGAAGTCTGCTGCCCGTGCTGTCCGAATTACGGTGAGATAGCAGGTATATGTAGATTCGATAATAACCTTTATAACAGCGGTGGTTGTAAATAGAAACGGGGGGAATAGAACGGCCTTTATCACCCAATATTACATTCTATTATTACAGTAGATCGCTTGTGTGATATATTTCATAATCGACTGCGATATCTCCTTAGGAGATATCGTTTTACATGAATTTGATTGGTCAGTTGAAAAGGAACTACTTTTTTTTTTAAAGAACAGTTCATTTCTTATTAAAAGTAACTTTTTTTTATTAAAAAGGAACTATTATTATTCAATTGACCTTGATGGTAACACTGGGTCAATATAAAGGACTTTGCAATGGTTGAATTACTGTCAAAAAATGATGTATCACTACGCCGTAATGTTCAGTAAAAGTGAAATCTACAGCAAAAAATTATATTTATCTATTTGTGCATGTAAGAAGGGATTGGGTGATAAATAAAATCTCCTACTCGTCTTTTTTGATATCAAAAAAGACTGGTAGAAGATTCTCTTTTTGTCCGTCAGAGATGGTTTCTAAAGGAATTAATAAGTTTTGTCTTGTTTCGAACGTTTAAATCCAGTTAAAATAGTTCAGACAACAATTTGGGGTTTGTCGAATTAGTGTGAACAGTGTATTGCTGGAAGCTAGAAGGGATTCAGAGGATGGAGTTTTAGAACATTAAGAATTAGAACCAACTCAACAAAAACTTTTGTACTGATCCACGAGTTTTTGAGAAAGAGAAATGGGGTTTAACGTCCACTCGACACAAACTAGGTCATTTCGGGACTAACATATGGTTCAATTTTATTTCCATAATTCGCTTGCGCATAGGGGTCTTTAGCTGTGGGAGAAAACCGGAGGACCCGGAGGAAACCCATGAGGTTGGACAGGCGACCCTACTCCTCGTCACGTACAACCCGGGAATCGAAACCCTGCCAGTTGACTCAATGACAGACCGTATGATACAGCGTGCGTGCTAACCATTTAGCCACCCAACCCCCCACGAGTTTTTGAACAAAGACGGACAAAGTGAAATAGACAACCCACCAAAATGAAATAGGGTTTATACAATGTCCTACTTTTCGTTCCGACTGTGCTACGGCCTACTCTTATATGAAGTTCCAAATTTACGTGCGTGTATACATGGGACCTCAGTTTTCCGGTCCATCCTAACGACTAGACACTCTCCTTGTCAGACCCGCTGTCCTGCAACAATGACATGAAACGAAACCAACTTACACCAAAGAAATTGATATGCAGGTTGGAAATACATGATCCAAGGGACAACAGCTACCAATGTAGACTGGTAGAATTGTCTATGGTAGCAAATGGTAACAAAGTATCATCTGTTTTAGAGGGGATTGGATGACCGAATAAGGTCTGTCATTGAGTCAAGTGGTGTGGTTACGATTCCCTGCTTTTACATGACAAGGAGTAGGTTGCCTATCCATCCTCGTGGGTTTACTCTGTGTCCTCTGGTTTCTTCCCACAACTGAAAGACTCCTACACGCCAGTGAATTATTGAAATAAAATTGAACCATGTTAGTCCTGAAATGACCTAGTTTATGATCTTTTAGAGGCATTTAGCAGTTTATGTCGAGTGGAGGTTAAACCCCATTTGCCTCTCTATCTCAGGGTAAATAAATATGACACATGCTTTATGTAATTAACATTAATTAATGTAATAAATAAGCTTTATTAATAACATCAATATGAACAACATGCTTTTCAAGTAAATGTACCAAATTAAAATATTAAACCAGAAAGCTAAAATCATTAAAGATACCTTCCCCGTGTACAAACTGGGTGATTTGATGATATATATAGACTAAAAACATATTCAAAACTAATTAATATATCAAAATTTTGCTTCAAATCCTACTCAAAACATTGTATTGAACAGGGAATACCACTGCTATAAAAAATCTATTAAAAGAAGTCATGTTTGTGTCAAGTGACTTGGGTGACTAGCAATGGGGCGAAGTCGGAGAAGAATTCATTGCATATACAAGATGTTGTTAAATCGCCCTCCATTTATCACAAATATCAAAGCCAATTAAATTCTCAGATTATCCATTGCCCATGTCATTTTCCGTGGTTATCTCGGAAGCTGTTGTACATTCATGTTTATCACCATATACACCAAGCGCTCACTAATGCTGTGAGATGAGACAATCTTCAGGTGCAACCTTTGACATCACTCGAGCAGACATCCCTACTTGTCAGCCACCAGTTAGGGAAACTCTTACATTTTATCCTGTATGCTCACCATGGGTGTTTTTCAGGGAATCCAATATTTTTCTATTAAGATTGGGCATGTACACCAAATTTGCCATACTTTTATTGGAAATAACCACCTGATAAATACTTTTGTGGGGAAAGTAACTTTAACACACTGGTCCAAACAACACGCTGAGTGTAAAAAAAAAAAAAATAATAATATAAAAACCATATTATCGAATACTATACATAGCACTTTTATATAAGACTTGGAAATAATTTAAACTCCTGAATCCTGATCATTATTTGTATTCTTCTGACAATATCCAATTTATGACAGTTTAATCCACATTAAAATTAACCCAATTAAAATTATTGAACATTAAATTAAATTAAAGCAGCATTATATTAGATTGTCATGTTAATTAATGTCTTATTAGTAGTTTATATAACATTTAACGCCTAAAGTAAGACCTGCAATAGGCAGTTCAAGTAAGAACTGCAATAGGCAGATTTATCTGCAGATTTATCTCTTGCATAATGTTTAATTAACAAAACAAAATAAAAATATCAACGGTTGATAATTGCTGGCTTTGATTCAATTTGATTCAACAGGATTAACAAAACTTATTATTTTATATCCTCTATAGAGGCTGCCAAAGTTTCAATACATCAAATCTTTGTAAATACTTAGAGGAGTGAAACCATTTATGGATTGATATTCCTTTAAAAGATTCAAGTTACACAATATTGTAGTTAGTAAGGGATGCACAATTGTTCCATTGATGATCAAAGGCCTTAAAAGAGATTAAAAGGAGTCCCATTCATTATATAAATAGTTTCAACTAAAAGTACAAGGTGTCTGAATGGTTCACGCATGCACATTGGATCAGAAGAAGGCGTGGTTTTAATTCCCCACTTGTAGGAGTAGTGTCGCCTCTCCATCTCATGAATTTTCTCAGGTCCTCCGGTTTCTTCCCACAGCTAAAGACCTCTACGCACTGGCGAATTATTGATATAAAAATTGAACCATGTTAGTCTCGAAATGACCTAGTTTGTGTTGAGTGGACGTTAAACATCACAGCAGCACAAATGATACTTTCTAAATTGGGAGTCACGGTGGATCAGTGTGTAAGACCCTTGCTTGCTACATGTAAGTTCTCTTGGGAGGTTACAGGTTCGATCCCAGTGTTGACCCAGATACATTTATACCTGCATGGTTTCGCCTTGTCAGGGGTGCAGAAAGAAGGTTTGGCCAGGGACAGCATCTGTCCGTTTGGATGGGACAAAAACCGAATTCCCTGTACACGTTAGTGTGCACAAAAAAGAAACCCTGGCTGTTAGTGTTAACTCTGAGAGTGACTATAAATAGACAGTAAGTGTGCATGCGCAGGGAAAGGTTTTGGTTTTAATGGTATACTAAATTCTTATAATCAATCGAGTTTTCAATGACTGTTGGAATTCAAAATCACAATGGGCCATAGCATGCTGTCTGGGCAAAATTTATCTCATAGCACATTGCATGATGGCGTACACCTGTGTTCATTAACATGGCCGGGCAGAAACGTAGGGCATGAAACACATTTCATGAATATCATCAATTACAGATTTGCACTCTGGGTTAAGCATAGTTGAAACTATTTCAATTAGGAATGGAACTTGTATGCAACGGTGCCTTTAACTTAAGATTTCTCAAGAGTCTATGATTTAGAATTGAATTCACTAAATTGTTTGAAGGGTTATGATCAATCAATCAATCATCTAGGAATGATTATCTGCACACTAAAACATTTGCTTTGTGTTTGATTACATCATGTGATTGGGACTGACATAACTTTATTCTGTCACTCAATATATTTCTGTCAGTAATTCTTGCAATGTCTCTATACAAGGTCATCTTTAACAGCACTATCTATAGGTCCCCTGACACAGCTGAGCACTGGGGCACCTAATTAAATAACCACTCACAGAAATAAAAATGTAAATTATCTATAAAATCAACATATATTTATGTATTGTAACATTAAAAAACCTGCTGTACATTAGCATTTAGCCCCTATGTGCATGAGGTCCCATGGAGAAATTGCCCTGTGTGCCCATGCATTAGGACAACCCTGCCTCAGTAATTCTTAGATCTGTAACCTGTCATGTAGGCAGATCATCTACAAAATGGATAAAACCAACCAATGTAATTTGATCATCTGAATTATTTAAAAGTTTAACAAAAAAATATTAGAAATTGGTTTTTTTTTATTTTTATACAAAAATATAGCCAGGAAAGTTTTATTTTGTTTGAGAATCGATTTATTTTGGTATTGGTTTAATGAGTACAGCCATTGTCTTGGCTTCCTCGGGTTTAGGAACCTGAAAATTCATGGAAAGATTATTAGCACGAGTACAAACGTGTGATGGAGCCGCGTCAACGTGGATCACATGGTCCTGTTCGTTGTAGATTACTACGCTGGCTTGTATCTGGGCCTCCCCGTTAATCATGGCCGATTCGTGACAATATATTTGCAGTGTCCATAATTCTTGATTTTTACGATACGTAATCTTCCATTCTCCTTCACGTTTTTCGGAAGGAACAGGTCCCACGTATGTTTTCACGTCAACCTGAATCCCAAACCTTAGGGTGTTCTGCATGCGAACTGTATCCACAGTCAGAGTTATATAGTTTCGAGGAAGATAACATGTATCATTGAAGGAAACCTCTAAGTCCGATTGGCTGGGACACAAAGATCGAAACCTGTAAGCCTTGCTAACCAAGTCTAAAAGGACCTCTCGACATAGAGCGTACTCTTCCTCTCTGGCAGTCGTTTCTATATCATATAACTGTTTGACTAGCATTTGTGAATACCGAATCATCGGAAGTAGTCGTTTGCTGTTTTCGACGAGCTGCTCTTGACGCTGGTCATGCAGTAACCACGACATCAGAGCTTTAAACAACGAGTATTCTTCTTGGACGACCAGTTGCGAATTGCACAACAAATCACTTACAAAATCAAACTCCATATCAAACCATTCGGGCATCCCCAGTATAAGGTCCGTATTCCAGGCAATAGTTTTAGAACACTGGTCAATCAAATCTTCAAGATTCAAAGCTTTTGCCCATGAATACCACTGAAGGGCATTTTTTACTTTCGGCGAACGTGTATTTATCACCATATATTTAGTACACAGTGATTTTAGGGAGGAAACATTGTATTTATCCGCCAGACACAGTATGCCCACAGCCGAATCTATGTTAATGTTGATTTCTGCCGTGTAAAGAAACCTCAAAAATCGGTCAAAATACTGCTGACACTCTAAACTTTCACTAAGTTCGACTTCTGGCAGGCCCGCCTGAATGTATCTCTGATCATATAGCATTGTACGAAAAACTTCACTTGATTTCGCCAGGACAAATTTATGTCCGTAATATTTCTGTTCTCCTACTACCAGGAGAATATCACTCAGGGCTTCCTGATTGTAAAACTGGGACACATTTTGGATAAAATTACCCTCATCGCGCAGAACATTGTCACCTTCCATGTCTGTAGTCGAAGCTGGTGCAGGCTGGGGAACAACCTCTTGTACTTCCATTCTCTGAAATAACACAAAATGTTTTTTTTTAATCAAAACAACAAGATTATGTGTTACATATCATGAAAAGTGGAAATGAATTAACTAGGCCCATTCATACCACTGTGTCATTTAATGTGCACCGTCATGTCCTCAGGTTATGAAAATGGACATAACTGATAGCCACATAAACATGTAAAGTATGAAAATATTTGGATGTTGGTGCCTTCAAGAAATCTTTATCATGTTCACAAGCTATAAAAAAAGCAATTGCCAGGCAAGATACGCCCACATTTTGCAAGAGATGCATAGAGCTAAAAAAAAAAAGCTAAAAAAAAAAGAGAGATTTTTCGTACAATCAGGGGCCATAATCCAGAAACTTATGGTCTGCAATGTGCAAATATTGAAAGGGGCTGAGATATACTTGGGATATAACGATATCTTTTCAGTTTCATCAAAATCAGATAAAAATTGTGACTTCTAGAGAGTTCACAACCTTGGTATTACATACTTTTACACTCATTGCGTACAAGGAGCGGCCATTGTCAGGCAGTTTCGGTCCGATTTTCACGAAATTAGATCTCAACTGTCATTAGGATGTAACAGTGTTACATTTAAACATTTTTTAAAATTGGTTAAAAAATTGTGACTTCTAGGGGGCCCACAACCTAAAACGTGATTTTTCGTACAATCAGGGCCCATAATCCAGGAAGTTACGATCCAATATGTGCGAATATTCAAAGGAACCAAGATCTTTGGGTTATAAACTGGCGGTTTCATCAAAATCGGATCAAAATCATGTACTCTAGAGGGTTCACAACCTTGATATACCATTTTTTATACTATTTGCCTACGAGGGACGGTCATTTTGTTGGGCAGTTTTGGTCGGATGTTCATGAAATTTGAACTCAGCCGACATTACGGTGTAACGGTGAGGGAGCACATGCTAAAAATTTGATTTTTCATACAAAAAAGAGGCCATAAGTCAGGAAGTTACAATCCGATATGCGCAAACATGGACAGGAACCAAGCTCTCTGTGTTATAAACATGCACTTCAAGCTTCATCAAAATCCCCAAATTTTAAAAAAGATCCGCTAAAAACCATAGCCTCTATCTCGTTCACAAAGTCTTTAAAAATGGGATAAGAACGCAGAGTCATAGAATGTTGAGCAACGATGGGGTTCCTCATGACCACACAGCTTCACACCAAATCTCTCAAAAACTTCAGGTCCTACTGTGTTCACCTGCCAATTGTTGACTGACAGATTGGGTGACGACCATGTACGTCCAAACTACATGGAATTGAACCCAGGATTTGCATAGATAACAGGTCTTATGGTTTATACCAGGTTGACACCAACAATCTACACAAAGGGACCTGGTCAAAACAGTAAAAGTCATTTACCATACCCAAGCCTGGACAGAAGGTACAAATTATCACACTGCCTTTTCATAATGATATATACATTGTGTGATAATTTGTGTCTGACAAAGTCTGTGACAGGACGTGCCTTACATGTATGTCCTCCCATGTATATATACATTGCGTGATGATTTGTGTTTGACTATTTCTGTGACCGGTGCCTTACATGTATGTCCAGGCTAGACCATACCATGTATATTAAACATACATTATGCAAGAGCTAAATCTGTCTATTGCAGGTCTTTCATTAGGTCTGAAATTTTATCTAAATTAGACTAAATTATTAATTAGATATTAATTAACCTATCCAGACCATAATCAACTCTAGATGGTATCGCTAGCCTGCGATCTTTAGTGGATTATGAGCCGATTTACTGCATAATTTTCCTTCACGATTTAACGATTAAATGGATAATCAAGACTATGCTGTTTATCGTACTGACTTTAGTAATGATGATCGAGGCTAGGCGGAAATTTCAATCGCTTAGTTCTCGCTCATAGTGGATCAACTTGAATGAAATTTTTAGCAAATTGCCTGTACATTATCTATTTTTTAACTATTATAGTGAGAACTGCCAACTCGTTATCGAATCTTCCATAATGTATCTTTAAGTGGACTAAAAACAAAGTAAACTGATCGAAAAACCCAACTAAAAAAAATCTATAAAAAGACTTCTCTGGGTAATCTTTCTGCGTACTGGTATTAAAAACAGAAAATACAGCTATAACAGGATTAACAGGTATCAATACCTGAACTTTTACCTGTTAGAGTTCAGTGATAGGTTAGGCCAAAATAAACCTAAAAAAAAACCACCTGTGTTTATTGTTTTTATTTTATTCTTTGCGTTTGTAAATATCACAATTTCTGTGTTGGAAAACCACACCAAGATCTATTGATAGGGATGTTAGGGAACAACGCATTGAGTTAAAAAAAACCCAATAAACATGGGTATTTTTGGAGGGCTTTATATCTTCCTTGGCCAAAGTGATATACATGCCCTACAAACAACTTCTTCCACCATAAAAATGGTGCAGAAAAGTATGACATTAAACCCCATTTCTTTCATTTCTAGCCTAATAATAATAGGAAGATGGGTTGGTGAATCAAATGGTCTAACACATGCGCTTTAAAACATAAGATCTGTCATTGAGTCAAGTGGTGTGGTTTTAATTCTGTTTCCTCCAACTGCCAAGACCCCTCACACAAACCGAATTATTGAATAAAATTGTACAATAAGTTAGTCCTGAATCTCTCTCTCTCTCTTCCTCTCTCTCTCTCTCTCTTTTGTAAATTTGTGACTGTGCATGCTGTATGATATCACTTGGCAAGTTGACCAGATTCTATAATATCAAGGGCAATAACTCTATTAGTGAATATCAGAAATTGTTGAAATTTGATAGGATTCTTCATTACATTTGACTGAACAATGCATATGAATTTAAATCAGATCTTCATAAGATTGTATAAAGTAATAGTCATGGGAAATAACTCTGGAAGGTTTATTCATCTGACTAATTTTTATAGATAGAAATGGTGTTTCACATCCACTGAGTTGAACCTAATGTTCAATTTTATACTTCAGTAATTCGCTTACACATAGGGGTCTTTAGCTGTGGGAGGAAATCGAAGGACCCAGAGAAAACTCTTGAGGTTGAACCAATGACCCTACTCCTTGTCACATTGAAGCGGGGAATCAAACCCACACCACTTGATTAAATGAAAGACCTTATGATATAAACCATTCTGCCACACAAGCCCCTTCTAATTTTTATTGGATGAAATAAATTAACCTGTAGATTGTTGACTATTACCTGGAAGTCTAATCAATTAGTCATTTATTACAACAGATAATTTTGCCACAGCAGGTCTGTGAATACTTACCGGTACATCTATGATACAGACAACTTCTGTGTCATATTTACACTGTGTAACATATTCCATGTTTTAACCAAGTAAATAAAACGTGTAAAAAATAATGAAGTGTTGGTTATGAAATGTCCAACGATAATAAATTCAGCATATCATATCACCTGTGTTTTGTTATGGTAGCAACAAGCCTGGTTAAATAACTAACATACAATAATTATCTACCACATTTGTTGGTCACTGGTGAATATGGGAAGAATGCCAAAACAATAGACATTTTCAGTCTAGAGTGATTTTTTACGGAATGACTGAAATGGGGTTTAACAACCTACTTTTCTGCACCGACTGGGCTAATGAAGATGAGCATACACCATACAGTATGCTATGAGGGAAATTTTGCCAAGACAGTGGCACTACAGTCTACTCTTGTATCAAATTCCAACTGTCAAGGGTTCTTTTACATGCACACCAATATGTACATGAGACCTCAGTTTTTCATCCCATCTGAATGACTATACACTGTCTTTACCCGGTCCTCGATCATGCAACAATGACCAGGGGGAACCAAAATGAAAAGTTCTGGGAAACTATCTTGCACAACACTGTGATCGAACCCTTGTTAGGGAGCCTGCAACTTTTCTCACTGAGCCACAATGAGAAAGAAATGGGGTTTATTGTCCACTCAACACAGACTATGTGATTTCGGGACTAACACATGGTTCAATTTTATTTCAATAATTTGTATGCACATGGGGGTTTTTAACAGTGGGAGTAAACCAGGGAATTCAGAGAAAACACACAAGGTTGAACAGGCAATCCCCCTACTCCTTGTCACGTACAAGCGTGAGTCACAATAGTATAACATAGTAGAACTCATTACACAATCATTAAGTTTATATATCAAAACGGGCAATGCTATGATATGGTATAACTCATTATACAATCATTAAGTTTATATATCAAAACGCGCAATACTATGATATGGTATAACTCATTATACAATAAACAATCTTGGGAAGAATGCCAACAATGACACAACAATACTGAGGCCAATGATCACTAGGGACCGGGTATCATTCAGATTTGATGAAAAAAGGAAAGAAACTGAGCTTACCATCTATAATCTAATACACATATTCAGTTAATAGATTGCCATGCAGAAAGTATTAAATACCATCAAGATTCATCAAAAACCGCCCAGTTTGTGCTACCGTTTAGTTTGACATCGGTTGTCTAGTTTATGAAACTAAATGGTCATAAACTGGATGAACAATATCAAAACTAAACTAAATGGTCATAAACTAGATGACTGATGTCAAAACTAAATGGTGTTTCTTAAACTAAATGGAAGCACAAACTGGGCATTATTTGATGAATCTTGATGGTATTTAATACTTTCTGCATGGCAATCTATTAACTGAATACGTGTATTATTATAGATTATAGATGGTAAGCTCAGTTTCTTTCCTTTTTTCATCAAATCTGAATGATACCCGGTCCCTAGTGGATCTGACAGTGGATTACTGTTTTGACATAGTGAAAAATTGTCCATTTTTATAGTGGATTTTATGGAACAAAACTGGCAATGATAGTACATGTTTAAGCCCTAAAATATTTCAAATTAATATGAACACACCCTGGAAATCTATATAACAATATAGATCATGTTATTAAGTGATAAAAACAAACACAATATGACATCAGTCAATCATTATGACATGAAAAAACCCAAC